AACTTGAATACAACATTACAACTTCATATGTAATATTTTTGTATTTAAGTTACAATTCTTTAAGCATACGTGTTCTTCCTCCATGGCCTGTTCTGCTGTGAGTTTCAGATAGTATACTGAACAATTTATCATTGGTAACATAATACTGTATATCCGTTTCTCCTGGTTTTAATCGTACAATTAATTTCTCTTCATCACTAATTTTTAAAACGTCAAAACGTTTTAATCGTCTGTAATCCAAAGGTGTGCTGCACTTAGTTTTAGCAGAAATCACTTCCGAAAGTATTTTAGAGTACTTTTCTTGAGAAAAATAAAAACAATTGTCTTCTCATTTACTTGCAATTAATGCACGTAACGTTTCAAAAAAAGTTCACTGCAGTATCCATTCAATATAAATTGGATAAAAAAATAAAATTTAAGAAAACATTGAACGCATCAGCAAACCTTGCATAAGACTGACAAACAGCAGTGTTCCAGAGTATAACAAATAGATATCACCTTATTTTCAGTTGTAACAGAACAAAGGATTTGGCGACAGGCCTTTCTGTCGGCATCGGCTTCTCGGGTGTCGTTTCGACCTCCACCAAAATTTATCTGTGCTTGTCGACATACACCGGCGATTGTTCGAATGTATAATAATATAACCAAATATTCGGTCTTTCACCGACGTATTTTGTATGTGTCGACATTCACCGGAGACTATCGACCTTCTCTAATTTCGGTCTTTCACGGTAACATATGTTATATATTAAACTATAAACTGAGGTAGAACTTTTTACTGTAAATTATACAAAATTATATGATTGATTTATAAATAAATAAAATTTAAATACAATAAATATTCCAATAAAAAATTATTACGGTATGAAACTAATTTTCATATTACTGTTTGTAGCCAACGTTATTTTTATAATGATAAGAGGTTAAGTTTGAGTCTTTATTTTAAACGTTATAGTATTTCTTAAAATCTTTCATTTAAAGATTACCCAACACAGAATATATGCAACTATTGAGTTGAATGAAAACGTTAAATCTTTTCAGCAATAGCACTCGAGAGTATGATATAAAATGCATTCAGAAAATGCTCTTAACAGCTCTTACACTTTACTTAAAAATAGTTCTTTGAAGAGTTGTTAGTCTCAAACGCATTGAAGAAGAATTGTTGTAAAAGCATTTTGGAAATTTTTTCATGAAAAACTCTGTTAATAATACTAGAACTTTAAGAGCTACTTTTCAATATTTTTGATGTTTATTTAGGAAAAATATCTTCAGAAATCTAAAAGTTTATTTATCAAGAACACTCACATAATGCTAGAACGGCAAGCATATTGAAAAAAGAAATGCTTATAAAGACTTATGACTTAGTTATAGATTTATCTTGTATGAACACTTATTTATGAAGAGAGATGGTAAGAGCTCTTAGAATCCTACAAGAATATTAGAAATCGAATTGTATTCAGAAACAATTCTTTAGGAGTTCTTGCAATTTATTTAGGAAGATCACTTACACATCTCGAAATTTATTCAACAAGAACCCATACAAGAACGTTAGAAAACGACTGGTATTCAGGACGAGTTCTTTTAGGAACCGTTGCAATTTATAAAAGCCATTGTCGGTGTTCTTGAAATTTATGTACAACTTTTAATTTATTCACAAAAATTTGCCACAACTTTAGAAAACGTGCATGACACGCATTCAAATAAAAAAAAATTCTACAAGATTTAGCGCGAATTCTAATTTTCACTCCAGCATAAATATTCGTTTTATAGGTGAAATTGAATTGATTAAATTTTTGAATTTATGGGTAGAAGTAGTGCTAATCGATTCCATTTATTTGCTCAAAGCGACGTTCTTTTCAGTTCCTCACGCACTTTATTTATATACTATTTTTGTATACTCTCGATTTTCATCTATTATCATGTAAGCCACATAAATTATAGGTTTTTTATTACTATGGTAACAGTCAATCACGTGATTTATATCTAATATAAACAAAAATTACTTGTCCTTTCATCATAAGATGGTCATGTATAGAAATGGTAAGTGAATTGAATTTCATATTTGGATTTTTTCCAAATTATATAATTATTTTACGATAAATTCGAGATATTTCGATTAGACAAATAATATCCTAACGATCGAAGAACTGTGCATATAAATTATTAATGAAAAAGTTCTGTTGTCGAGCAACAAGTCGACACGCGCTATGTAATTATTAGTGCTGTTATAACAGTTATAAGTGCGACGGTTTGCGCTGTTCATTTGTAATATTTAATTAAATAGTTTAACTGTTCAATATAATTTGAAGAGTAGCTATAGCCTGTAACAAATAATAAATTCTTTTAAACAGGCTTAACAGTTATTGTTGTTTATTCTGTTGGGGTATGACCTAGATTTAAAGTTTTATTTTCGATATTTATAAATAGAAAGTAATCTATAAATTTTTTTATGATGATGAATAATAATTATTAAAAACAGATAAATTTAAACATGTAATTCATTTCAACTTTAATTTAATGTCTATATAATTTTTAGTGTGATCCAAAAGTCAGTTAACCGGAATATAACTCCGTCTTGCGGCTGTTTCAAAACTGTTTTAATCGTTCTTAATATATTTTCAATTAACTGGCATTTTGGACTGTAAATAAAATATAAAATGTAATGGAAAAGACAAGAATGGAAATGTCAAATCGAAACTAGTTGTTGAAAATTTGTTTTACAATTTACTTCGCTTTTTCGGTTTTAGAAAATTTTTAAAAATTTGCAAATTTTGTTTTAAATGTTCTAAAAAATCTTCAAAGTAGCGATGAAATAAATGAAGATTATAGTGTGTGTAACCTATATAATTTAAAGATCGTCAACTATTCTATATAATAATCGTTATAGTGTAAACCAAGAATCTCCTATTCTTTTTTTTTATGAGAAAAACCAGTATACACAGTACAGTCACATTATAATTACACAGAACGGCGTGCAAATGAAAGATACTTTGTAGAAATACTGCAACTATAGTTAATGATACTTATTTCTTAGTTAAGATTGATCGTAAAACGTATTAGGCCTACATAGGATCATTTTTAAGAAAATGATATTAAGAAAGTAAAACATACAGTATTTCTATTATCAATATATCATTCATTCAGTGAAAATATAATGAACGTTTTAGGTTCAATACGTGTAATGATCGTTTCTGTGATTACCTACTGCACAACGGCACAGTTGATAAAAAGCTTCTGTTACTAACTGTACCGTTTTATTTTAATTTTCGTATCTTTTGTTACCACTGTTTTTTAATAGTAACTATTCGCTTTTTGAGTTTTTGCTCTTATTAGAATATGCTTTAAAATTAATTCTGTTAAGACTGGTCATATTTACAAACTGAATTTCTACAATATTCAATTCGCATCATCATCCCACTTCACAAGTATATTCCATTTCATAAAGTTACAACCGCACATCTGCTGGTCCTATGCTTTTAGACCAAACATAGTTTATTTATTCTAGTAGCAATTGTAATAATAATAACTATAATAAACAGATAAATCTAAATAAGTAATAAGTAATTTATTTCAACTTTAATATAGTGTCTATATAATTTTCAGTGTGACCTAAAAGTCAGTTAACCGGAATATAGCTCCGTCACTTCTTCTAGTAGTAATTGTGTGAAATAAAAACAGCTTCTCTAACGCAACTATTTTTTATCCTAAGCTCTAGAAAATTGATATTCTGATACGAAAGTATACTGCCAATTAATTTTGCTACATTGTTTTTGTCTGTGGATCTTATAGGCTACGGTATAGATATCTCTTTGTGAATATTTTGTTAAGATGTATGGTAAAACTCCAATAATCCGAACTCTGATTATCTTGATTGTACTCCGAATTTGTTAAAAATAAATAAGCATGTATGTACTATAAATATATGTACTATATGCATATATATGTACTATAAATGCATACAAGTAATTTTTTTAAGTGTAGAAAATAAACTTAATTTATTTGTAGATACTGTATACATTTCCATAGTTAATATTTTATTTGCATATAATTATTATATACGTATAGTCTCCCTTATCATAATTTAGCAGTTATCAAACTAGACTAAAATATATTTAACTATTCATAGCGGCGAAAGAGGTACTGAATTCTCTAGACTGCAATAAACAATTAATTATTTACAATTTATAAAGCAGTTTTCTCCTCTAACTGGTTGAAAAGTGATTTATTTAGCTGCCCTTATGTCGGATACTTAACGGGATATTTGGATAGAAATAAAAATAGGACTATTTTAAGGAAAAATCTAATTATCTGAATATTCCGCATATCCAAACTGCTCGAGGTCCTAATTAATTCGGATAATTGGATTTTACTGTAATAACTCAGTAACCTATCTTATTAATCAAGGTTTTCTGAATGGGAGAGAATGCCAATGAGAACCGCAGAAATAGTCTTAAGGAGCTGCAGAGTTGTTGAATCTTTTATGATATACAAAAAGAGAAAAGGCAAGAAAATTGCAAATGCATAATAAAATAATAGAATCACTATAAAGATTATAGATCAAGTAGAAAAAACTGTAAGTAGTAGATTAATGGTTGTAAAGTTTTAATAAGACTTTAAACAACAAAATAATGGTTGTATTGCATAAAAGAAGACAGTGAACAGTATAGGCTACCTAAAGGCAATATAATAAACGATAGGTTAATGACTAGAAACTATGGAAAGATAGACAGTAGTTTAAGCAATAATCTATGATTACAGCCTAAATAAAAGAAATACTATATCTAAGTATTAGACTTATGTACGTAGATTATATATAAGGCATATTGCTGTTTACTAACTTATGTACAACATAAGATAGTAATAGATTGATGACTAGAATACATAGAAATACTATAAGAAGACTATATATAATAGATAAATCGTAGTATAATAGATAAAATTTCTATAAATAATACACCAACAATTATAGACTACATAAAAGATAATTTGTTTATTTTCAGAGAATACAGATTCTGGTTTAGGATTCTGTGGATGGATCTTCACACTTCTTTCTACTTTAGTAGTAGTTGTCACTTTTCCATTTTCACTTCTCTTCTGCATTAAGGTGAGTTCTTCTCTTCTGTATAAAGGCGAGTTTTCCAATATTGAAATGATATTGGTATTCGATATTTCATTTAATTAATCACTCTTAAACTTTTACCAACAAAATCATTTATTAATCGAACAACTTCAGTTGTCTAAGCAGATCTTCAGGATACAGCCAAAAAAGGAAATTTTTCGGTATAAGAGTAGTTAATGAAGTATTGAAGTGGTTATTTTTCAACATTCAGTCTCAAAAGTACTCGAAATTTTTTAAGTCTAGAGACAGAATACCTTTAATTTATAAAAGTTTCAACTGCTGAAATTTTTAATTTAAAATAGTTGCATTTTAATATATATTTAGAAGAATTATTTTAAAAAATACGCAATCAGAAATTAGTAATAAGCCAAAAAAATTATTTTTTACATTCTTTACTTAAAAAATTATATAGACTGAAATTTTTATTTTAATGAATTATTTTGTTTATAAGAAATTGCCATGGTTATTTGGTGCATTATTATTATTATTATGAATATTTCGATCCAGAATTTATATTGAATTCGGTATTAATTATGTATGATTCTGAATATCAATAGTTACATTCACGAATATCGGATAGTTTAAAACATAAACTCTATTAATCGCAATCAAATTTTATATGAAGTTAGTTCGAATATTGTTGTTTTACAAATTTGAAATAAAATTATATAAAATTTTTCATTGCCCTCATTTAAATATTATTTATACAGTGGCGTCAACTGTCGGATAGTATTGCCAGTTTTAATGTCTTCGCAGAAACTCTACAGTTTAGCGTATAGTTAACTCTGCTTAAGGTAAATCCGATTAACTGTTATCGTCGACTATTTTCTAGTACGCATGGTGTAATAAATAACATCGATTAACGTCAAAATTCCTTCCGCTTATCTGCTGGATCTCATGTTATTACTTTGATACAGTTTCAATAAAATATACTTAAATATAGGTAATTTTCGTTTTTAAAATTTCAGGGATTTTTCACGCATATTAGCCTATATCAGATGATCCTGAAAACCTTCAACATAAGTCATTTGCGGTACCAAGAGTGTAAAATTTTCTTAAAATTTTTATGCAAATGCAAGATGAGATTACCCTTTAATTCAGTACATACTACGGAGTCTTTATTGTTATTTAATTTATTAATAATTAATACAAGTAACATCCAGTGAACAAGAAAGAACCGTTCCTCAATAGCAGACCATTAAAGCAAAAGCAAGAAACAATAATGTACTGTATTGTACATGCACGATAAACATGCAATGCGCGCAAAAGCAATACACATGCACAAAAATAAAAATGAAATTTAAAAACAAATTCATTCGAATTAAGATACACTAAAAAAATGCATTATAATAATAAAACATTAGAAAATATATACTTGTATATATATGTATCCGAATGTTGTATGTAAAATTTACCTGAAGACAAAAATTACCGTCTTATAATGAAATGTATAGATAATAAAATATTACTACTTTTATGCAGTATAACTTTCGGACCGAAATTGAATAATACTCGTTGTATTTTATCTATACAAAAATATAATTACTCTGTATATTTATATACAGTAATTGTATTTTTGCGTAGATAATTCTGAATTACGTTTAACCAATGTTTAAGACAATTAAATAATCGTTTTGCAATGATTTTCAATACAAAATCGTCACCATTTTAGTTGAAAAACTGTTGGACAATTACCAGTATTCGAAATTAAAACTGATTAAATATTTTATTGTTATGTTAAAAAGCTGAATTTGAAGTGTGAAAGATTTTATCAATATTTTTCTTGATATTAAATAGGAGTAGATTAATATTGGAATATAGCTATTCAGTGATTGTTTTAGGCTTTGCAAAATCCTAACAAGCATGTTACGAGGCTCCTTTTTTTAAATATAAATTTATTTAATGCATAATCCTTATCACGCCATACTTAACCCTTTGTTGACCTATTACCATGACTCATTATAGGATCTTTTATTAGCTAAAATCTTACATCATCTAAATTCTCAGTTTGTTTTGGATTACGAATACAGTAGTATACCAAGATTAAATATTGATAAATGTTGATGTATATTTATGCTTATCTGACACCAGTGGCGTTGCGTAGTGGGGGCGGCCCGCCCCGGACGGCACTTTTTAGGGGGCGGCAAAATTTCACAATAAATAATAATAATATCTTGTAAAAACTTGAACCATTTCATCACCTATTTTCGTCGCACCTACGATTCGGACCAATTGAAATGAGCACGAAAAGTGTTATCATCCGGACAGTCCGGGATTTCGTGCACAACCTGTTGACAGCTAAGTCATCTAGGTTACTTACGTTACTCCTAACCAATTCTCCCTAATCGCTAACTGAACCGGCATGCACTACACATTATTCTTCCCATTGCAAAATGACATACGCATGCGTCAGGAACTTCTGTTCGAACAAACCTCACCTGCCGTCCGAGTCAGAGATTTTAAAAAGATGGCAACACTAGCACGGAATTTTTCATTACTTATTCTGTGACGAAACTGAATTTTAGTTTTTTAAATTGAGATACCTAAATAAGGGGGCGGCAAAATTTTCCTTTGCCCCGGGCGGCTGACACCCACGCTACGCCACTGTCTGACATCTGTAAAAAGTACGTACTAGATAAAAATATAATTTTGTGCATAAGTAATCTTTTAAATGTCAATTTTTTTAAAAATTATTTCTTCAAAAAATTAATGAAACATCATAGGTTAGATCCGAAGAAGTTAACAGACGTTTTTTTGTCTGGACCGCATTTTATCAGAGACAAAAACTTCTGAGTGTTATCTTCTTTATTCTTTATTCACTATGCATTTCGGGTGCAAGATTTTGTGTACCTTGCACCCTTCATCAGGTGTTACATTTTTATAAATTGGTAGAAATTCGATTATTACAGTGATTATTACGGTAAAGTTACAATTTTACAATTTACTATTTACAACAATTATTACATTTTTCGTTATTTGGATATATTTACATAATTGTGGACTATTATACCTGTATGTAACCTGTTTTATGTTTGGACATACAGCTACGCAATGTTGATGTTGTATCCCCTAAGGCATTTTTAACTGTCTTTCTTTTCTTTCCGTTTTCCTTGCTCTTTAGCCCCTCCCATTTCCTTCCACACGTTGTCAACCTCCATGCCATTATTTAGGTTTATGGTTTTGTTTTTATTAACAATTGCGAAGTGCTCTTTGAATTTTCTTAGATAACTGTCTTTTTTCCTGTGGATTATTCTTACACTTTTTTCATTGCTTATGCATCCAAATTTGCTACAGTGATTTGTCCATGGTGACTGGTTATAATTAAGTCTAATTGTTGCTTCATGTTCTTTTATTCTGGTTCTTAGTTGCCTTCCTGTTTCTCCAATGTATATTGCTGGTTTTTTACATGTACATTTTACCTCATACCACTCCCGCTTGGTTTAGTATTTTGTTATTTTAATTTAATTGATATTGATGTTGTTTTTAATTTTATTTTTTAGTTTGGCTGCTAATATAACACCATGTTTTCTGAAAACGTTTCTATACTTTTCAAATGTTCCTTTAATATAGGGGAATGAAGCATATGTAATATTCTCATTTTTATATTTAACATTGAATCTGTTTTTTATATATGCAGTTGTCCACTTTTTTAGTAATCTGTTTGGGTAGTCGTTCAAGATAAAGGTATTTATTAACTTATTTTTTTTTTGTTCTTCTCTTCCTTCTGCCTTTGATGTTCTGTTCCATATCTTTGAAAGTGCTATTATAAAATTATTTCTTTTTATTGTTATAGGACTATACGATTTATAATTAAGAATTTTATCTACATTGCTGCTTTTTTTGTAAGGTTTTATATTGAAAGTGTTTTATTTTCCCGGTATAGAGTTATGTCTAGATAATTAATTTCATTTTTATTTTTATGTCATTTTCAAACTTAAGATTATTGCTTAGCGTGTTTGCGTAGTTGTGTAGTATATTTTCATTAGTCATTTCTTTGTCGTATATTATTATGATATCATACACATATCTAACCGTAAATATTATTCAGTTGAGGTTTGCTAATTTTTTATCCATTTCTTTCATGCATATTTCTGCAAGTTTTGGTCCTATTATTATTCCCATACTAATACCATTTTTTTGTCTATATATTTTTTCATCTATATGGAAGTAATTATTTTTTGAAGGAATAATTTTTTAAAAAATTGACATTAAAAAAATATATAAAAAACCGCAACATTGATTTATTATGGATATATTCTAAACTAAAGGGTAACAGATTTTTGAAGATTTGAATTCTATATTTGGATATATTAATGTTTTGCTGTATTTGGATATACAGTTTTTTTATTTGCATATATTTTTACATTGTACATATACATGGCATTTAATCAATAACTCGTGTTAATTGGTCGAATGTCTAATTTATTATGCGAGATATTCAGTTAAAATGTATATTTTATGTGCTTATACAGGTGAATCAAACAGGAGTTTAAAATACTTTTAAAGTATTTTAAAGTTTGAAAGTTCTAAAGTTTTTTCTTTTGTTTTTGTTTGCATTGACTTATCTAAACTTCTTTGAAACAACTTTTATTAACTCACAAATGATCTTTCTTTTAAAAGTTCAAAATTTATCTGATAAATAGACATTTTCTAATATTTCATTAACATGTAATGAAGTTTGAAAAGATTCCATTTGGATGAAGATTATTGCCTATGTAATACGGTGGAAGCCGATTATCCTAAGTAATGTGAACCGATGCTACCTCGGATAACCGAAAACTCAGATAAAAAGTGTGGCCACGGCCGTTTCGGAATAAATATTACAAGTATAAAAATTTATTTCGTATTTTTAAGTCTTTTCATACAAGTGAATTTAACCATATATAAGAACAACAGTGTTTACTCATTTATTATAAATCTATCAATAGTAAGTATAATAACCTTAAAATAGGGATAATGTATATTATTCCAGTTACACTTCAATGAGAAATAAATTATTTATATTAAAGTTAAATGATAAATGGTAACAAAAACAAATCATTTCGTAATACGTGTTATCTTTTAAAATATTCTTTTATGATTACAGTATAAGAAAAGTAGTGTATCCATTTATGGATTCAGTTCGGATAATGATGAACTTCGGTTAATAGGGGATCGGATAATCGGTTCTGTTGTATATACTATAGATCATTAAAACTCCCATTGTTTCGATACGTCAAATTTGCAATGCTCTCTTTAATTTTTATTATTTCTTTTAGTTCCTAAAGTAATAATGTTTTAAAGAAAAGGATAGATTCAATTCTATGTAATAGTTTTGTTTTCCAAGTAATGGAGTGGGAGAATCGATTAATCGATCGATGGAATAACGAGAAAGCTTTGTTGTTTATAAGGTCAGCTTTGTCAATCTGTCCTTAATTTTGTGTTGTTCTTTGGCTATATTGAACCATGTCGTCATGGAGATTCTTAACAGGTAGTATCGATCGACAGGATTATCTAATTTGTATTTTTCTTTCACTAGGTGGTGCAAGAGTACGAAAGGGCCGTCATTTTTAGACTAGGCAGACTCTTACAGGGAGGTGCCAAAGGACCGGGTTAGTATCAATTATTTACGTTTTTAATGTAAAAATATTCTTCACCAGCTGAAAATGTGTTAAAATATAGAATAAAAGTAACTTTTATTTTTTAAATCAGTTTTTTTATAAGCTTTAGGTCATTTACCTGTTACCAAAATTGGATAGAGGCTAAATGTTATTTTAAGTGAGTTTTTAGAGAGAAAATATAAGTATTGTGGTTATAGAGTGATAAATATGCAAAAACTTTAATAATTCTGCCTCAGATAATTTATTACTCATAACTTCTTTTATAGGTACAGTACATAAGTAATTCTCTTCGCAATTATTATGTAAATGAACTTGGTTAATTATAAGATGAGTCCATCGCTGATGGAATATTTATTTTTATTCTTTAGATTATTTTAAGTCGAAATTTGACATGGAGTGTCTGCGAAATGTATTTCTCATCGTTTATTTATTCAGCTAGGGGGAAAGCAAAAAAACTTCATGAGAATAACTTTCTTGAAAAAGGACCAACAGTTTGTCGTTCTTATTTTCAGTTTTATTCATTTGATTGAAATACTGTATAAACATTTTACACAAATTTGACGTCATTCTTGATTTTTATAACAGCATGAGCATGTAAATGACGTCAAAAATTGACGTAAAGAAGTAGAAATCCCAATCAAACGTGTTCGGTTTTAAATTTGAAATAGTGTTGCCATCTGGTGTCAAGATATTTAACTAAATAATATCAATCTGAAATTTATCTTAATTATTATTTATTTTATTTAGGAATATTTTTCATCCTTCCCTGCATTGAAAATTACACCAAAGTCGATCTGCGTACTTTGACATTCGATGTTCCTCCTCAAGAGGTGCTTACAAAGGATTCCGTCACCGTCTCCGTAGATGCTGTTGTTTACTATCGAGTGCACAATGCCACCGTTTCCGTTGCCAATGTGGAGAATGCTCATCACAGTACTCGCCTTCTAGCACAGACTACCTTGAGAAATATGTTGGGTACCCACAATTTGCACGAAATTCTTGCGGAGCGAGAAGCCATTTCCAATTCCATGCAGGTATAATTACAATGAGTTGTTTTACCATTTAAGACGGAAGAATATACCATATTTAATGTTCCTGAAACATAATTTATAAAAAAAGCTTTATATTAATTTTCAACCTATGTTTTATTAATTTCTTCGCTTGTTTTCAGGATTTTTAAATAAATATTTACAAAAATATTGGCTTTAAATCTGGCTAGTATTAGATTTAAATTCGTTTGAAAAATTACATTTTATAACTAAAGTCACGATGGCATAATTTTATGCTAATGAATTATATTTCAGGGAATATTAAATGAAATTTATAAATTGTGATCATTGAATTTGTCAAAATTAAATCATGTTTCTCTTAAAAATTAAGTGTTAGGCCCTGTACACACTAGGCGTTTTTCAACGCGCGTTTTAAAGAACCAAGAGCTCTATGTAGCCGTACACACTCGAACGCCAAGCGCGCGTTTAACGCGCGTTTATAGATTTTTGTTAAAACGCGCGTTTTGCGGGCACTTTATGGGCGCTTTGAGATATATGTGCTGCCTTATAGCGACGATGGAGGAGCACACACAATCAATTACTTTCTCGTCCATTTCCAAACTGAGCCAGTGCTAAACGCCGAACTAACGCTCGTCGAACGCCGAGCTAACGCGCGTTAGCTCGGCGTTAAACGCGCGTTGAAAAACGCCTAGTGTGTACAGGGCCTTATACAAGAGTTAAATTATTAGATGTGTAAAATAAATTGTTTTTTGCGGAATATTGAATGAAACTTTTGAGTTATAAGTAATGAAATTGCAAGAATGAAAATATATTAGTGGGGAAATCAAGATAAATTCAGTTATTATAGCTGTTAATATTCACATAAATAACATAAAATTCATAAAAATTGAAAGAAATACAATTTATTAATTATTTAATTCATAAAATTCTTAAATTAAAAATTATAATTATTGGATCGACATAAATTTTAAATAATATGTTTTGTAATACAATTTATAGTTAATGTAATTTTTCTCTAAATAAATATAGCTGTTAAGAATTTGGACTGAATTAATGAAAATTTCATTATTAATTTTCATTAATTTTTTCAGAATGCTCTGGATGAGACGACAGATGCCTGGGGCATTAAAGTGGAACGAGTAGAAATGTAAATTAAAATTACATTTATTTTATCTAAACGAATTACCTTTATATATCGATAGGGTAGTCTAAAACTTGGTTAACCGAGTTAACTACCTAGTTTATATTTCGGTTAACTGACTTTTGGTCCATCCTGACTTTGATCTTGAATATAAAATATATAATTATATATTTAATTCTTTCAATTAATTATTTTTAAAATAATACAAAAATATTTGCAAAATGTACGTTTTGCATATTTTGCTAAATCTGTTACACTAAATAACATAACAAATATTCTTAATAATAAATGTAATGTATGGGTTAGAAAGATTTAAATCAACGTATACGTATGTCAAAAATATAATAAAGACTTTTTACAATATAGTTTTTATCTTGTTAATAATAATAATAATAACGAATAGAGTCAAAATTCGATTTAGCGGAACCATTCGTTTACCGCTGGAATTAGCACTAAATTGAGTGTGGTGCTGTTCTGATAAATTGAAACGGTAGTTGCGTTCAGGTATGAGCACTAGTGAGCCCTTGCGTGCACTAAGCCGTTCATGTTAGCAACTCTAAAACCGGTTCGCGCTTAGTGTGACACGATCTTGAGAGAACTGAGTTCGTCCAAGAAATTACCGACTTTCATTTCGGCGCGGTTTACGACGAGTATGAGCGCATTACATTGCGCTACTCATCCTAAGCCGTGCCAACCTGAACGCAACTGAGTTCAGTCAACTTCGATATGTAACGATGTGAATGTAAATAATGTCATTATTTTAAAGCGCGAAATTTTCCAACTTTCTCATAAATATTAAATACAGAAGAAATATAAATTTATTCGAAAGTCATGTGATAACAATAGCTTCTAATAACAAAAATTCTACATATCGTGCTTCAGTCACCTGTGAAGTTCGAAAATATTTTTTGGTTGTTTGCGAGGTTGGCGTTATTTACAAGGGTTATATTGAGATATGTTTTGTAAACTGAATTTTTATATTTTATGGAATGATTTTCTATTGTTTATTAGTTCACAGTAAGAAATGAGAATGTTAGATCATGACTGTAATAATTATCGTAAATATAGCTTAAATAAATCTCTGCATTGTGTATTACGATGGTAATACAGTATATGATTTATAAAATAATTACCCGTTTGCATATTACTTACGCAATATTTAACAGATAGTTGAATAACTTTACCAAAACACATACATTGAAATGGAATTTATCCGATCGAACACTCTTTGAACTCGGAGAACACGGAATCTGTGATTCGGATCGTTGGGACGTTCGAGATTTGCGTTGTCTAATTGTCTATAGAGAGGATTGGTTTCTTATTTTATACTGTAGTTATATATATATAGGGGAGACCGGGGCAAGATCGGCATGTTAAGCTTTACTTAAATTTTGTGTAATAAATACTGCTGTAAACTGAAAAAAAAGCTTTGCATATTGTCTATTGCAGTGTTTTTCAACCTTTTTGAATACGCGACCCCTTTACAAGTTAAAAAATTCTGGCGACCCCCCTAGGGCCATATTAAAACTATATCAATGATTTTAAAAAGTATGAATTTAATTTTCTTTCTGTTGAGACAAATTATTGTTGATTAAAATTAGAGTTTCAGAAGAATCGACAATAACTTAACACACGTAAAGTATTAAACTTTCTTTAATTATAACATTGGGCTCAGGGAGCTTTTGACCCTTTTTTTAGGATCAGAATTTTCAGCTTCTACTTTTCTACTTTTTATTTCATTTTGCAAGTCAGCTCAACACTTTTTCGGCTATCATTTTCTGGGTGGGCCGTATCCACCCAGGCCCCTCCCTGGCTACACCCATGGTTGAGACGTAAATATCGATCAAAAAACCAATTGTACTGTAAAATAAACAGGTACAACCTTCTCGCTGAAATTGTAGTTTTTTTAATGTAGTGTAGGACCTACAAACACTTGTCTTTTTCTTTTACCCGCGACCCCCCATGTAAGGCTTTACGACCCCCCTGGGGGTCGCGACCCACAGGTTGAAAAACACTGGTCTATTGGAATGTTTTCTTACTATAGAACTGGTTAAAATCAGTTTGGAAATAAAAATAATTAAAATAATTACAACTTTACAAGAAGAGAGAAATTGACGAAGTTGCCCCGGGTATAGGGGCAAGATCGGCAACTTCTCTCTTTTTGTAAAGTTGTAATTATTTTAATTATTTTTATTAAAGTTGCCCCTGGTATAGGGGCAACAGTAATGGAGCAAGATAGGCACGTATATAAAATTATGTTATTAACAATGTATAAGTTGGAATTCACTATTAAAACAAAGAAATACAAATCCAACACCCATTTAATATTATTACAACGAAATGCAAGTTCAAAGACATATATACATGAATAACAAATGCAAACATGTTTTCATTTATCATCTGTTTGATTTTTATCCTTTGCTTCTAATGTGGCTTTATGTTGCCGATCTTACCCCGCTAGTCATGATTTCGAAACATTAAGTACAACCCTGAGAACAGAATGCCAAGCCACGATCTGGCCACGTGAATAAGTTGAAGTTACATCCTTCTAACAGGAAAAGTAACTTTCGTTATCATGGAATTATAACAAAACCTGCCAATTCAATATAAATGGAAGAAAAATATTATATGGAATTGAACGAAAATGAAAATTTGCTTGATAATTCAACTACGCTTGTTGGAGAACAATAAAAACACTACACTCAACAAGCCACTAATAAAACTCAACTGCCTAACCTATAACCAATATCTCCTTTTAATTTGTTTTTAAAAAAAGCGCTTGACAAACTTGCCCTGCGTGCCGAAGTTGCCCCGGTCTCCCTTGTATATAATAACAACACAAATACAATAACAAAGTTATTTCTTGTTATTTTAATTTCTTTTTGTGCTATTTTGGTTGCAATTTTGTTTATTTGTAAAAAGTGATCTCGTCAAAATAAACGTCTTTTAACTTGAATTGTTACAATATATAAAGAGCAAAAGGTTTAATAGTGTTTCGACGGCTCTATATGCTAGTAGAAGTTATTTGTAGCTTCCCTTCGTTTTTTGCAAGTATTTAACTTTTTTTCAAAGTTCTGGAAAGTCTTCAACGTTGACAATTGGAAGCCCTCAAAGTGTTGTCTCCGAAAGTTGTTTTTGGGCTGCAATTTGAAAAGATTGTAGACTTATAAATTCACAATGTCGTCCGTTCGTCTGTCTTTTCTTAATCTTGAGAACGGAGTTAGTTGAAATATGAGACCAGATATGAAAACTATAGGAACAGGAGATCCCGATTAACTATATTAGAACTTCCGATGCAGACCGGAAGTCATGTTATTTCAAAAATTTTCCTCCCGAAAGGTATTAGATGACCGACATGACTCTATTGTTAAAGGAAAAGAATAATGTACAAGGACAAGCCACTATAATTTGATGTGGAGAGCACATGTTTTAAATAAAATACATTTAAAATAGGATTAAAAATTGCAACATGGCATTGTGACGATGTCACAATAAATAATTTCTAACTTTTCTTCTCATCAAAGATAACTGCAAAAAAAAAGCCAAGATTATTTTAACTAATTTCTTAAAATTGAAAAACAGGCTCACTAAAATTATTTTTTGCTACGGTAACACTTTTTTTTCAAAATTTGGTTAAATTCGTGTTTTCTATGCTTTTAAATTTATAAAATTCCCCTAAAAATTGCCTTTTAACGTTAAATGTGTTTCCCAAATTCATTTTTAGATAAGGGAAAAGATTTTTCCAATATGCAATTGAACGTGTTTTTAAAAAAAAATGGCATTAGTAAACTGTGAAGCATAATGTAAATGTTTATCATCAAAACCATAACGATTTCAGTTGAAAGTGTCACTAAAAATCTCAAACACTTACGTATTTTAAACTCGCTTTTTGTAATAACTTGCATTGTCAGCTGAAAATCCATAGTTGCATGGTATGGAATTATTATCCAAAACTTTCTTTGGTATAGTCAAATAGTCCTTGTGCAGTAAAACGTTTAGCTTTAATCAAACGTACAAAAGTGTACGTTACTTCAAATTTATTATCGCTCGAAAAAACGAGCAATTAACACTAAATTTTCGGATGTACTGTACAGTACTAACGTTATTAGTTTTATCAATAATAAGGGAAATAGTACTTCCTTTCTTGTTTTAAAATATTAGAGTGGCTTCTTCAGAGTATCTATTTGTTTACTAGTAGTTCTGTAGCTTTACCTTACTTCATTTTTAGTGATTTTTTGCTATATTAGAATCATGAAATATGTCAGCCAGTATGAATATAAATTATCGATTAATTGAAATGGTAAATTTTTCTCACATAAAAATCCATCCAACCAAACCAACTTCTGCCTTTATAGTAGAACAATTAAGAATCATTGTTTCATTTTACTCAACAATTTTAGTGTCTGATGTTTGTGTCTTGGCATTGACTTTTTTTTATTGTGGATAGATGTTTTATGCTTATTTAAATTGAAAGCACATTCCTTTAGTTCTACATTACAAATCTTGCAATAAGCAACACCATGACTTCCACTTTTCTTAGTCAAGTCAATTTTTTTTGCCTAATCAAGGGGAATTTTTGTTCATATGCTTTTTTAATAATATTATTCTTAAGTTATTTAGTATTGCACTCATCGTTATCAGTTTCGGTGTTTTCTAATGAACTAAATCTCTAATTTGTTTGCATTTCTACTTGTAATAGTAGCGACAGAAATTTGAAAAAAAAATTTAAATATCTTAAAAGTAACGACAGATGCAGTAAAAAGTAATGCAATAATTATTTTTCTGTTGTAGAGTAAAAATTATTACACATTTCCTAACCGCAATAATAACAAAATAGAAGGCCTTTCCCCAACGATTGTAAAATAAAAGAAATAAATAAATAAACAGTAACATTGCTAAACTTTGTTTGTTTGTTTCAATTCTCTGAACGGCATATATCAAAATTCTTTGTTTTTATTTGTTTTTTAAATATAAGATACCTCAAACAAATCAATAATTTACTTGTCTATTATATGGAAAATTAACACAAACATCTGCTCCATGATAATTAAATACCTATAATTTATTACTTCTTACGTATCCATTTTGTCTATGATGTATAGGAAATAAGCATGTTATGATTGCCTGTTATTGATAAGAAAACCAACAGAACATCGAAAAGACCTGCTTCCCCGCATAACAGGGCTATATTTCTTCGTTGCTTTTAGTTATAATTTAAATTATATTTTTAATAATGTTTACTAACAAGTAATATCAATAATAATTTCTATTTATACGATCTGAAACAAAATTTTTACCCCTTTAAAACTTTAGCCTTACTTTTAGTTTTTTGCTTAACGCTGAATTTCTTCTACGGAACTAATCTTTATGATAATCAAACTAAACAAAAAAAACTTTGTAATAAATTTATTCAGAACAAAAAATTTGTTTTTAATTTAAGTAATTGTAAATTGGATGAACGTCATTTATTTCCCAGTAGAATTTTAAAAAAGCAATTTGAAATGTATATAAATTTACTGTAACTTCTTAAAAAGTTTACTTAAAACTTAGACAGTTTCGTGATTTTAGACAATCATCAAATTCTTTTTATACTAAATTCCGTGCTTCAAGTTTTTAATGCAAATTCTCTCTGACTTATATGAAGTTCTACGAGAATATAAGTTAATTTTCTTATATAAATGGAAATCACTGAATTAGTGATAGAAGTATGTTTTTAAATTGGTTTATGCAATTTTTTTTAATTCTCGAATTTGAAATTACTTTAAAAATGTATCGATCAACAATATTCTTCCTTTATATTTTAAAATATTGCTTTGAAAATAAGTTAATTAATCATTTGTTGTTGCGTATTTCAGGTAAACTTGTATTTATCGCAAATTGAGAATAACGCATTTAGAATTAATGTTTTAAAAATTAAATTTGTACCAGTCTTAAAGATAAAAGTGTAATTAAATATAGTGATAACACTTATTAATGCATATCACTAATATATTTATGAAATTTAATTAAGCATAACGAAGCTTTCAATTAGTGATTAATTTATTGTATTTTATATTTTTAGACATATTGAGAAAAATATTAAATATTTTTCAAAAATATTCTTGTATGTTTACATAACAGTAAGTAATTTATAATAACTATTGTTATTGTTTTCAGTAAAGACGTTCGTCTGCCAGTGCAACTGCAGCGGGCAATGGCTGCTGAAGCTGAGGCTGCCAGAGAAGCTAGAGCCAAGGTAAACTCTATTTAAATTGACTCTATAGTCCGCTCAGCAAAAGAGAAGACACGTGTCAATCTGAACGAGAAGAATCTAAAGGACTGGAAGGAGACGTGTTGGATTTTACACACGGTTCACAGTAATAAAATTTGTTTAAAAACAATAAATTTATTTCGATAAAGGTAGTATAAAAATATTTAAAAAGCAAAAAGAAAACACCTGAAGGTAATATGTCAATTTTCACATATTTCCTTCCATCCCTCTCATCTGACATAGACCCTTCCAGCTCAGGCTGATTCATATCTACTCTTTCCCTGTGCAGACTATAATGTTTGTGAGTTACAAAAATATTTAAACTCATGTTTTTCTCCTTAGGTTATTGCTGCTGAAGGTGAACAGAAGGCGTCTCGAGCCTTAAAGGAAGCTGCAGATGTGATAGCCTTGTCACCGGCGTCGCTGCAACTTCGCTATCTCCAAACGCTAAATACCATTTCTGCAGAGAAGAATTCTACCATTATTTTCCCCTTGCCTATCGATTTGCTTAGTCAGTTCATCCCTAAATAACAGCATATAACTCATAATAAGGAAATCGTTCACATTCCACTTCAACACTCACCAATTTGATGTTTTGTGTTGTTTTAAGATATTGCTTAACTTCTTTTAGACTTAAAAGAAAGAAGAAATATTTTAAAATGTCTATGGAAAAATTTATCTCGCGTATATGTAAACCTTGTATTTTAAAATGTTATTGTTAACACCGTTAGTTCCTAGAAAGCAATTTACACGTGGCTTCGATTAAATTTCTAGTCAAATCTGGTACCTAGTTTCCAGCAGGAGCGTGTTGACGGTGCTCATGTTGAACAGAATCGTTCAGATAATGATCTTGTCGAACGAATACTTACCATGTGTACCATCAACACTATCTTACTGATATATTAAGTCGAGACTAGGTACCCAAAAGGATTCGCGAGGATTTTATGTTAAAATACACTGCTGACGCTTCCATATTGTAAGTGATTTTAAGTAAATTTGCATATTTCAGCATTAGATAAATAAGAAAATGATCATAAATATTCATCATTCTATACTCTTTATCCAAATACCAAATTAACGATGAGTTTGGTACCCATTCAATCACTATGTACTATCGAAAGGTATTGCTTATTTTGTGTATCTTCCACAAAAATGGTTGCCAATTGGAATTTTTTAAAATCATTTTGACAGCTTTATATGTAAATTTGAGATCAAAATTTAGTAATCTTTTCTAATATGCACCCACAAAATATATAGCCTATACATACAACTAGAGGCGGATTCGGAATACTCTTCTCTAAACAAAAAAAAAAAAATACAATTTTTCTATAAAATTACAAGAGTATTATTGAAATATGAAACCATCTGGTACACAAACCCGTCCAAAATTCTATTTTTTGGAAAAAAAATGCAAAATTGTTGTTTCAATTACTTAATAACTTCCAGAATTAACTGGAAAGATAATTGTTTCATTAAAATTTAAGAATTTACAAAAGAAAAAGTATTTTCTGAAGCACTCTTGTTAACACTTTCAGGAAAAAAAATTTGAGAACGACGTCCATTAGAAATTGTTATTTATCGACTTGTTTATATTGGAAAATGGTTATTTTTAGCTCAGAGCCATTACGATCAAATTGTCGGAAGTTTTATCGAACGTGCACAAAATGTTTATTGAAAAAATTTATTTAAGCAAATAAAAAATGGTTTCCTTCATAGATTTTTTGAAGAAATATCTTATTTATTTTCTTGTAAACGTATTTTTGAAACATTTAACTGAACATTTTCTTAAAACGTGTTTTATATTTCAAGAAGAGTTATAATAATACTTCAAAATATATACTTTGTATCATGAAAAACATTATTCCTTCTTAAAATATATTCGATTTTCAAATTTAAAATTTTTGAAGCATATATAAAGATTATAATGCAAATGAAGACTGTAAAAAAGATTTTTCTCCATATTTATCGTAGGTCTGGCCAGGCGATCAAGAAAGGTATGTGATCCGGTGACGAGAAAACAGTCCCATATATCCAGATTAAATCACTGAAAATTTCCTAGAATTCAGTCTAAACTTGAACTCTGGTTTTCCAGAATGGCGCTCTGGTATTTTAACCGCTTTAAGAATGGCATAGAATCTATGCCGTAGATCAATTTAATAATGATCAGATTGCTGCACGATAAGGTATCTATTGCCATGTGAAGTTTAAGTTTAAATTCCTTAATTTATTATGGGTAACTCATGCGAGGCATAGTTCCTCATCTCATTCATACTAATTAGCCCATGACAGGCCACGCCCTCCATTATGGGCATAGTTGTGACCGGCCGTGTAACCTACAATAAACTCGTGCATTGCGTTAATAACATGATGGTTTTACATAGAAAGGATCGTGTCATTGGCTTATTTTACTTTTTTCTTGCTACACGGACTGTGCCTAAAAGTAATTTATACACGCAAATAGTTAAATTTGTACACAATATTTTGTTTTGCACATTAAAATTTACCCTTTTGCGTGTAAGAAATTTAATAATTGGGAATTTTTACACGCGAACAACTAAACTTTTATTTTTAAGAAATATTAAAATAATAATAATAATAAAGTTTACCGGATAATAATTTCCTACGCTCTCCGGTAGAGGGCAAGAAAAGAAAGAAAAGTTGTCTGACAACTTTTAGTATTTCCTGGTTTAAAAGTTCGTATTTTATAATCAAGTTTTGTCTTAGGAAACAAGTTTCTCGAACGTCTCTCGATACTCAGACGTAAGCAACAGGTAAGAATCATTTATTAATTGATATTAATCCTTAATTTATTTAATGTTTTTATTCAAATATTGTTCAACTATCAAAACAATTAACTTTTAATCAGCGTTAAATACCTTTGCGTACGTTAACCCATTTCGTAGGAACGTAATATGTTTTTTCCGATTTATTATAAAACTTGGCGGATTTTTTTAAGTTTGCGCTAACTAAACATATAAGTTTTATATTCAGTTAGTGTAAAAGGTATTTTAAAGTCGTCCATGAATTAATTTAAAACCTAAAAGTATCAAAAATATTACTTAGAAAAACCATATAAGTATCAAAAACATTAGTTACAAGTTATACGAATACTTATTACATTAATTAGAATTCAAAGTAAATATCCATGAATTAAAAAAAAATACTAAAAGCATTAGTAAAAAAAAGTCAATGTAACTACTATCTTTGATGTTTTAAACTCTGTAAATGTCAATTATATTAATTTAAAACACTTAATTTTAAAGAGTAGAAATAAAACTAATTAGAAAATTATTAGAAATTTCGTAATTCTTGGGAATACGGGAATTCCCAAAAACTTCTAATTGGAATATAGCTGGTATCAAGAAAGGAAATTAAACGGAAATTGTTGACTTTTAGCGACTATTCATTTTTTTATTATTATTATTAATTACGGGACTTATTAGTTCTATTTATACTTACTGTAAACAAAAGTAAGATGATTTATACTTAACTAATATTAGTGTAACTGGANTTTAAAGAGTAGAAATAAAACTAATTAGAAAATTATTAGAAATTTCGTAATTCTTGGGAATACGGGAATTCCCAAAAACTTCTAATTGGAATATAGCTGGTATCCCAACAATAAAAGTAATAAAACTATTTTTTTCAGATGAACTAAATTTTTATCATAAGAAAGAAACACTCTTGACCCGTCTTAGTCAACTTTTATTTATTAATAATAATAATAATACATATTAGTTAAAAACACCTAACAAATACTAATTATATTAAAAATATCGATTCATTAAAAATTTTATCTGAAAATCGACATTTAAGGTTTTCTAAATCAATATAAACGACTTCAAATAATTTAATGTAAAAATAGTAATAATATTTGAAAGATTTTTAAAAGTTAGCAAATAATTTTTTGTTTTAAATACAATAATATAAGTTCTGTGAAATGATCTTTGTTTAATTCCTAAAGTCTTTAATTATAATTATTTTTATATATTTTTTTACATATTCGTTTAATCAATGTAGAATAATTAATAAATAAAATATTTATTAATATTAGTTTCTGTGCATGTTGGCTGTATGTTTTGATATTTAAAGGAAGTTCTAAGATTAATTAAAAACTATAAATCTTATTTGGACATCAGGTGTGCTTTGAGGAAAACTGAATCGGAATTAAATTAATGAAGGAAAATTCAACACGAAACTGAAATTTAGATAATGATAATTAACGGATAATTAACAATTTAATTATATTTATTTTTTATTTTAAATATCGTAGGTAATATATAAATTTCATAATATCTAAGCTTTTCCTTGTAAGATTTCTTGAATATTTTTCTTTATTTAAAGATAAATTAAAAATATATTTTAAGTATTAAAGAAATAACTTTTGAAAATTTTTATAAATTATTTATTAATATTTTCTGCATCTGTATTACTTATTACATATTTTTTATTATTATTTCTGTGTGTATAAAGGATTAATAAATGTGATTACTTTAAGTTATAAACATAAATTTGTTAATAAAGCGGGTTTTAGTATTAAAAAACTACAGATATATCTTTTTAGTGTAAAATCATTTTTTAGCTAATAACTCAACCATTTTGAAAAGTTTGAATTGAAATAAATCGAGATTTTTCTAAGAACATTTTAGTTGATAAAACATTGTTATTTTAAAAATATTTTAATGAGATTTGAATGCTGATAATATGACTAAATTGATAAAATTTTTAAAAAAATATTCAAATAATTTGTATAATTTTCTCTAATCTGAAGTGTCATCAAGCTTTCCTATTCGGAGATAGTCACTCGCTAGTTCGCATCATTTTCATCTTCCAAAAAGAAAACATTACAGTAAATTAACCTAATTTTTTCGATAAATCACATCCGTAATGTGTAATTGAATTGATTAAAAAATATATATATTTTATATTCGATTTTAATAAATGATAAACGTATCAATCAATATACGAAAATTCACATTTTTAAATAATTTTTTTTCAATATTTTTTAGTAAATAATTTAAAATAAAAATAAAATATTAGATAACTTTTCAATTATATAAAAAAACATAAACAAAAAAAAATTCACAGAAATTTGGCAAATTATGATTTATTTTTAATCTAAAGCGTATTAATTTTCGGTTATTTATGTGAAATTACAATTTATTTTGAACATTAGGAAGAACATTTTCCTTCGATAGTTACTGACTTTTTTGTTTAACCCAGTTTCTGAAATGTTATGCTTTATCGACGGGCGATGCTGCTGCTGATACGAAATTGTGTCAGATTATTTATTGCAATGAACTATGAAGAAGAAAATGAATTTTCTTTTAAAATTATATAAAGATATAACTTATTTTTTAATATTGTCTTAATTATTTACAAGTTGAAAGTGATATGAATATTATAGAAGAAATAAATTTTTATAGCATACTTTAAGCATATGCATGCAGCTATGCTTAAAGTCTGCTTAATGAAGTTAGACTTCTTTAGAAGGAATTATGTTTAATGCATTAAAATTATATCTTAATTTTAATATCAAATTTTCAATTCATGGATAACATGGAATGTTTATAATACATTTATTATCTTCTACTTAAAATAATCTGAATGAACAATTTCATATATACATCTTATTTAGCATCTTTGTGAACATCTGCCATAATAACTGCAAATTAATTTTATTTAAATTGTTGAAATACTATCTAACACATATTCAATTGTAAATGTTTTTGGTAAAATGATTGGAATATTTTTTAATTATGATGAGTTCTTATACAGTCAAACCACTGCTTACAAACAATTCGTTATACAGTCAAACCTCTGCTTACGAACAAAATTTTGTTCGTAAACCGAAAATTTCGTAAGCAGAGGTTTGACTGTATAACAGTTGTTAGTAACGCCATATTTACTCTTGTTTACATACGATAACTCTGTTTCTGAACAAGCTACTCGACGGCGCGACCATTCAAGAACAGGACTATCAATTCGGTTGCGGTGCCGAGATTCTCCTTGCGTCATTAGACGTCACAACATAAACCGTCGATGACGTTATTCGAATTAGATTTCAATGCGCATGTGGGTAACATACTATTTCCGATTAGAAATTCATGGGAATTCCGTAATCCTGCGCCTACAGGTGTGTAGGAACGCTACCGGTAATTTAACGATCTAACGCTACGGTTTAATTACGTTTATTTTGGTTGGTTACATACAAAATATACATAATTAAACCGTAATGTTGGATCGTTAAATTACCGGTAGCGTTCCTGCACACCTGCAGGCACAGAATGACGGAATTCCCATGAATTTCTAATCG